CAGTCACATCCAATCCATTCCAGTCACATCCAATCCATTCCAGTCACATCCAGTCCACACCAGTCACATCTAACAAATTGATCCCAGTCATATAAATAAATTTCAGTTACATCCAACAGTCCAATTCATGCACTTCTGATTAATCTGTTAAAATCTTTTTTACGCGTCTAACATGTAAAACATGGAAGGAGACGGAATAAAAAAAGGTTCTTTTTTTATTTTTTATTTTTTTATTTAAACATATTTTATCGAAACATTAACCCCAAGAGCGTAACGCTCATCGAGGGGGTCTATGTCAAAAAAAAAGGTTCTGCCTGAACAATTATGTATCGGCAAAAATGAACCAGTGTCGCACGTCGCTCTTTCATAAAGTAAGCTCCCCATAGTGTTTCCGCTTTGAATAAAAACCTCTTAAGACCTCTTATTGCAAAGTGCTTTGTCATAGATCCGATTAAAAGGACCGAAAAATATTTGGAAGAATGTTCTCAAATCAATGCCAAAATTTTAGCGAATAACACTGTGCATTAGTACCACTGGATTTGATTCCTACATACTCATGTATTTGAATTTAGACTTGTTAATAAATCCGCTATTCATAAGTGCCACCAAGAAAGCATTGGCGCCATATGTAAATTCCGGGTTGGGCTATTTTTAGTAACCGAATGCAGTATTAATTTTGCCATACCCCACTGCCGTGTGCCATCATCAACTTGCGCGCGGGCACTCTTTCCGTTTATTGTTTTGATCACTAAAAACGAAACGGAAAGAGCGCACACGTGCGCAAGTCGATTACGCACGGGAGTAGGGTAAGGCGAAATTTAAACTGCTTCCAGTTACTAATGAATAGCCCAACCGGGAACCTAAATGGCGCGCGCCACAATAAGAAGTTTCTCTCTCTTATTTATGTTCTCTTGATGCCGCTCTTAAAAGTTTGTGGGATTTCGAAAGCATTTATAATGTCACAAGTCGGGCCTATTTTACGTCACGGATGTCGAGGACGTTTGGAAACTACTAGTACTACTATTTTTGAAAAATAAACGTTAACGTTACAGGTAAACATGAAAAATAAACCGTAAAACCCGTTTAATCAAAAATCAACTTCTAAGTTCTAATTCCATCTTTGGGCTTTCACTTAGTTTGGAGCCTAGCTCTGTTGTGATTGTCCCACGCTGTGATACAACAGCGAAAAGCTTTGTAGATTTAATCACAGTCAAAAATCAAACCAAGGTATTCTTTCGCCCCGGCATGGTTGGTCGTTGTTGGGTTTCTTTGTGAAGATTCCTAAGTAAACTCGTAGAGGGGCTGAACTTTCAAAATAGATTAAAATCAACAAGATTTCAGCTGCCGTTATTCTAGCCGGAACCTTTTTTTTTTTTTTGCCGCGGATGAGTAAATAATTGAGACGGAGCGGAATGAGGGAGAAAAAGAAGGGGAAATAAGGACCGAAACATACACACTTATTTATTGAACTTATAGATTTCATGAATGTCGTTATTGAAGGTTTATTATTATTTTTATTTTTTATTTTTTTTTATTGAAAGTTTTTGGAATTTTAAAGTTAACTGGTAAAAATATTCAGCCCTAATTTAGACTAAACCCGTTTAATCAGTAAAGAAACTAGCCAACGTATTGAGAAGAGAAGAAATAAACGCATAGTAACACGATTTTTCCTAAAAAAAAGTTTTTTAATTACCGCTATTGTGAATTTTCTCACTTTCTGATTGGTCTAGAGCCGGGGGAAATAGGAGGACATAACCATAAATTACTTCGGTAAATCTCGCGCGCGCTTGAAACCCTGTTTTTCCTTCAAATTTTACCCTTTGTTTTATAGAAAAACTTTTGATTTTTTGTGGTTAAAAAAACCACAATTTCCTCCAGTTTTCCTTGGCATGTCCTCTTTTTTGCCAATTTTTTCGTCATCTAGCCGTCAAACATATGTTGTGGACTCCCTTGGCTATGCCTCGTAAGTCCATAACATTTTGACGGCTAGATGACGAAAATCATATAAATATATAAATAAATATAAATATAACCCAAAAGAAAGAATATGGCCGTACGATTGATTGAACGAACAATGCCCAGAACGAAGGAACGAATGAACTCAGAACGAATAAACGAATGGAATGTATTTTTWATTTTCTTTAGCTTAATTATCTTAAGACTATGATTGCTTTTGATCGATATTTGAAAACAAATGGAACCTCCTGCCGTAAGGATAATGACAACTTTGTGTTTTTGAGCGAAAAACAAATTACTCTGTCCCGTTGTTAGGTTTATGTGTAAATGTTATTTTCGGCTAAGTTAATTATCTCTCATCAACTCTAATTCAAACTAGTTAGAATACATGGACTGTATAGCGGCTGCCAAAGGTGCTTTCGCATGCTTTCATTTCTTTCCTGTTTGAGCTGCGTCAATGATGCATGTACTTGCAGTGGTGATATAAAGCATTTCTTTTAGAAAAAAACGTCGTACCAACGAACGAAACAGCTAAATTATTTCTTTTAACTAAGTATCTGACGACAATATAGGTGTTTTCGATCACAACATTTGAAAATAACACCATCTGCCAACTAATCACCGCCTTTCGTGTTTGAGCTCATAAAAATAAATAGAATCAGGTGAAATAGCATAATTCATGCAGAGGAGTTCAAAACGTTTTAACTCGTTCCATTATACCTACCGTGATAAACATAATACGTACTGAAAATTATTTAATTCGTTCGTCGCTTTATCTTCGTAAAGTTTTCTGTCCTAGAGACTGAGTATATGGAAATGTTTTTGAAAATTTGCGTGTTCGGCGCTCGGCAAATATTTGCAAATTTAAACAAGCTAAAAAAAACTTTTACCTTATTTTCTCACTCTTTCCTACCATTTTTATTATTCAAAGTAAAACCAAAAGCATTAAAAAAGTCATTTTCTTTGCTATTTTCCTCTTTCCTACCCTCTTTGTTATTTAAACTTTCACTTTTTTCTAATAAAATTCAAATTTTTCTTGAAGTCTTCTCATTTGCTATTCCCTCTGTCCTTCCCTCATTAATTATTCAATATTTTACTATTTTTCGAAATAAAACGGAAAATAAATAAAGGCTGTTTTCGTTACCTCTTTCGTTTCCTCTTTCCTGCCCTCTTCATTATTCAATATTTTGCTTTTTTCGAAATAAAAACAACAAAAATATCGGGGGAAATGTAGTGTGTGTGTTTGTGAGTGAAAAGTGTCCCCAATTAGTGCTAAATCGTTCTTTTAAAAATAAAAAAATTGAATTTAAAGCATTTGGGAAATTTTGTCAAGTCTGAATCATAAAAAATAAAATATTTAGCAGATTTTATAACAGTATTCGAATCAAGGACAAAAATCTTTTAACTTATTGAAAAATTGTGCCTTAGATCTAAAGCCTTGAGGTGATATAATGATAACGGTTAAGAGTATCGATAAAAAACCAGGAAAACACATGCAATATGCAATTCTTGGTTTTCACCTACGTCATCATGAATTTCAAAAGCGTAAATTCGCATTATAATGAAATAAAAGTTTCATAATCTTGTAAAACGGTCAAAACTACATATTCTGGCCAAATTTTGAGGCTGCAAAGCATTTCGTTGCGGAACTAGAGGCGAGTAAACATGACGCAATTTTTGGTTAAAATGTATGGAGCGGTCATCTTGGTGTTCCAAGTTGGTACACCATCATGGCGGACRAAATTTCAAAGGCTTAAGATGATGGAATTTTTAATATTTTTTACTGCATTTCACTTAAATATACCTTAAAGGAAAAAGGGAAAATCTAAGGGAAAATCTTTTAAGTAGAGTAAATTATTTTACTATTTTGATCGCTATTTAGGTAGACGTGACGGCATTGCGTGACACAAACTCACCCTTCATAACTCGTGAACCAAACATCGAAATGACTCGAAATGTTTTCTTGTGACTTATAACACTGATTTCTAAAACATACTCGAGAAATGCCTTTATACGATCTATAGTTTAGATTTTGATGTTTTGATGACGTCATGTGAAAACCGCGGCAATATAATAAAAACTTGCTCCACGAAGTTAAACAAACAACCATTTTAAAAGCTGAAAATGCTTTTATCGCATCCAGGTGTTATAGATAACGTTCAATAAAACGTTTCTCTGGATAGAAATAATATTATCAAAAAAATAAAATGAAATTTGACCTGACGTTTCTATGGGTATAATTGGTCCTCTTCGGCGGGAAATTGTAGAGAATAAAATGAAGTCAAGATCCATTTGAAATGATTTGAATCTATAAGATTTATGTATATAAAGAATCGAAGAGGTTACGAACTTACCCGAGTTTTGTAGCAATACGATGATAGACAAATACTTCAGAAAACTTGAAATGATTGGTTCAACATTCTTCATGGCCACGCTTTCATTCGTTTCCGTCTCGAGAACACTGGGCTATCGTTTTGTAAGGCGCCTGAGTCGATGGTAAATAACTTCAAAGGCCAGTTAAGTCCAGTCCTTTAAAATGCGAAGTATTTATGTCTGTTCATTAGCAACGATAATTTTTAGAAACATAAATTTTAATGAGTTGAATGTACGTAATAAAGAGGYATGTAAACTATAACTATATTGATTCGGATTGTTGAGCCATGAATGATATTTTAAAAAAAGAAAAAAGAAAAAGAAAAAGAAAAGAAAGAAAGAAAAAAGAAAAAAAATCACACACACACTTTCTCGTAAATCCGAGTTCTTTTTTACTAAATAGACTCAGTTCTATTTATAGCGATTTTTTTTTTACAAGACACTAGTTCTAGTTGGATCTGAAAACAAATCACATTCATGAAAAGATCAATAATTAATAGTCGAATAAAAGGGAGGGAAAATACTGAAGGAAAATTATGTTCAAAATACTAAATTATTCACGAAAGTCATAGCCTGCGGCTATTGAATTAAGATGTCGTGTGAATTTCCCATTGCTCTCTACTGTTGGTTGAATGCTTGTATCAGTAGCCACTCTTTCGATAAACAGTTGTGACAACGAAAGCGGAACCACTAGTTTAAAGGGCTTATTTGGGACTCTAGTCTATTTTTATTCTTTTCCTTAGCTAATTTTTGCCCCATAGACATTCAAATCTCCTGAGAATTGGAACCCATTGTTTTGTCCCCAGAACTGAACTACATTCCAAAGTGCTCGGCAAGGGGTCTATATAACGACTCTCCGTCGTGACGTGCCTGGCTACAACAGCGGGTTGCTTCCCATGTCCAACAAACATGACGACCGGAATATTGTAATACATGCTTTTTCAAAAAACGTGTCCTAGGTTTTGCTATGCTTACTAAGCCCAAAATATACTGTGGTTTATATGTAATGCCAGCAAAGAAGGAAATATTCCGGATAAGCGTACAGACAATGTTTGATAAGGTTAATTCCATATTGTCGTGACCTTTCGATGATTGTATTGCCATCGACCATAGTGCCTTTCGGGCTTTGTCAGTGCAACATTATGCAGCAAGCGATAAATGAAACTTAACCAGACTTGAAATCATCTATTCCGAAGGCTATTCTTTAAATGAAACATTTTAGGTGACTCGTCTCTAATCTAATATTTATTTACTTTATCTTTGTTAGGGTAATTATGCGAAATTTTCAGACCCGCTGATATTGTCAAATCTCAGAGTGGATAAAAGTTGGCCGTTTTCTCAAGGTTGTGTGCGCATTTAATAAAAAACTAAACGGGCCACGATATTGCTATGAAATTTTTTTCGATAATGAATTCATAGAATCGATTATTCTCCTCTTTAAAAATAAAATTGTCTTTTCAATTACTGAATCTGCGCTTTTCAGTTTTGTGGCCCGTYAAGTTGGATRCGCACGCAACCTTGAGAAAACGGTCTATTGTTTTTCTCCATATCCGGACTTTTAATTGTTCGCATGCTCAATGTAGTTGTTTTTCTTTTTTAGCTTTGATTGAGGCCGCATAGTCAGAGAGTTTATTCAAACGGGAAAATGGTAAAAATATTGAAAATGGTCTTCACTTTCCTTCTTCATAAGGTGATCGGTCAGATGAAAGTAGTTACCAAAATTAGATACTTGTTTTTACTTTTGTAAAGTAAATTAAAAGGGTTTATAGCCTTTATCCTTATCATGAAACTTAAGAAATCTTAAGAAGCGGAATTAAATTTTTTTTCTTTGAAAGAAAAATATCATTTTCAAGTCCATAATAATTTAAATGTTAACCATGAATGGAAGCTAAACTGCCATAAATTCGGCGTTAGACAAAATGGCGACCATGACGTTACATGCTCCCCAAGGATTAGCGTTGATTAGGGCACACAGTTAATACTACATTGAAATCATTCTAAAACAGAAAGGGGATAATTTAATTAAAAAGATTATCATATGACCCGTAACTGCCCGGGCGCGCGCTCTTAAAAAAACCTTCGGGAAAATGGCGTGAGCAGGGCCGTACAAATCCGTACGGCCTTGCTCGAAACCTGCGATCGTATTAGCATAATTTGCAACTTTTAACATATCTTTTTTATTTAGAGTCATATGATAAAATGCTTATTGACTGAGTTGGGTCGGGCCGTACGGGAAAATATTTGGCTCTCGGTCGTTTGTACGGACCTTCGTACAGCATCACCTCGAACCAAATATTTTCCCGTACGGCCCTCCAACTCAGTCAATAAGTACGTAATATTTTTCCAACTATCCTTGGTGGTATTCAACACATGAGCATAAAATAATTTTCGGAAAATTATTTTATAATATTACGCCATCCATAATCACCGTATTTGAACAAACGGAATGAATCACTCAGTTTATAATGCACTCTACAATATTACTCGATTCTGATTGTACAAGAGAAGTACAATTAAATCCCAAATTGTACTCTGTAGAGTCCCAATTTTTGCTCAATTTGTTTTGAGTGTATTATAAACAAAAAATCGCACACTCTCTTCGTACAATTCTGAACTTATAGATACTCGTGAAGTTTTGAAACTCCCCTAAAGGCTTGTCTCATTTTGAAAACTTTCAAAACATCACTCGTGCCTATAAATTCTGAATTGTACTCAAGATCGTGCGATTTCCTATACAAATGTAGACACCCAGAAAGACACAATCTCTACCAAACAATGTGAAAAGATGGACATAGAATGGCAGAGTATGTTCTACGATTCTTTGTAAGTAGTGTTCTCCTTAAACCACTCTTAGTCATGCACTGAATAGTGCATGTCTACCCTGTACGAAACAAGAGATTCGTATGTAACAAACTAGGTTTAAAAATATATGTGTCCAAGTATTCTTTATATACATTTATCAAAATAGACCGTTTTCTCAAGGTTGCGTGCGCATCCAACGTGACGGGCCACACAGTTGGCAGTTTTAGGCCCCGTCCACACGTATCCGGAAATTTTTGTATCCGCAAATTTTTTTTTGCGGATGCGACAATGTTCGCGTCCACATGCAGTATTCGAATCGTTTTCACTGTCCACACGTATCCGGAAATTTCATGATCCGCCCTGATGCACGCTAGTGCCTAGTCCCTTTGACGGATAGTTTTTTTTATTGAGCATGCGCAAAATCGTGTTTACGTCATCGTATTCGAAAATTTCCGGGTACGGATACAAAAATTTCCGGACACGTGTGGACGCAACCCGCATCCGCAATACGCAATATCCGGATACGCGTGAACGGGGCCTTATATTTAAAGAGGAGAATAATTGATTTTTATGAACTCTTATGGAAACAAATTTCATAACAATACATAATAATACTTGTATTCTGGCATCGTGGCCCGTCCTTAAATTTGCATGCGCACGCAACGTTGATAAAATGGTCTGTATTTGGTATAACCCACGCGTGTTTGAGAACCAAAATGAAAACATTGTATTTAATTTGAATTCAAAACTAGTTTGCATCAATATATTTGACCGACTAGTTGGATTTGACTAMACCAATTAGTCGTCTTTCCCTCATGGCCTGAGTGAATACTACTTATTCGTGGTGTGACAATGTTTGTCAATTCAGCGTGACAAACATCTAGAGGATTCATTTTCTTTTGTTTTTATTCTTTGAAAAATTATTGAGATCCCAAAGGATACGAAAGGAATAACGGTGATATCCCGACGAATTTCAAAAMAATAACTGTTTATTTCCATAGAAGTTTGTCACGTTCAATTAGGAAACAATTGTCACACCACTAATAAAGTCTTTAGCCCACTCGAGCTCGAGGACTAATTGCTAACTACGTTATTTTCATTAGTCCTTATGATCATTAAGACATGTGATTTATGCAATTGATGGGTTGCAAGCATTCCCAGGAGAATCAAAAGACAAAAACATGGCGGGCATTGTGGTGCCTTTAACAATGGACGCTAATGAGAAATATTTTGTTAAATGGCACCAACATTGCCGCGATGACGTAACGTGCAATCGAAGAATTGAAAAAAAACCTGACACGGCTGAAAATCATAAAAATCCAGCATTTATGTATTCAAACCGAAACGTTTACATCTATAAATATGTATATAAATATATAAATCGAGTACAATTCATTTTAWTTCAGTGCTTTACGGCTGCGTGTTGTAATTATCAAAAAGTATGCAAGTATTAAGATCTGTCACAATGCAGTAATATAGGTTACAGTCTAGTGAATATTAAGCCTCGAAGTTTGTGCTAGTTCATGRAAGTTTTGTTGGGTGATAAAGTTTGGGTTGTGAGATAAAGTTTTCATGGTGCGAGGATACCTTTCAAAGCAACTGGGCATCGATAGCATTATCAATATCTAGATTGGGAGCAGTCCCTCTATTTCCCTTGGTCACTGTCCGTCTTTCTGTCCGTGTCGATTATCCGGSAAGATTGGTTACGAGTCAAAAGTCCYTGGGGTAGGGGGCTGGGTCTTCCGTCCTTCCCTTCCCATAAAATGGATTTTTATGATTTTCAGCCGTTTCGGCTATTCCAGCTGCTTCAGCTCTCTCAGCCTTTTCAGCCATCGTTTTAGTTTCAGCTAGCTCTTTACCGCGACCCGTACGTGAAAATTATTAATGTTCTAGCTACGAGGCGCATAGCATGAAATTTCCGACCAAATAGGATCGAACATTGCTAGACCTGGGCAGCTGTTATTGTAATATCCATGTGACTATGATTAAGGATTTGGCGTACTGCAGAAAACATAAAATATATACTGTTTGGCTCGACAGTTATTTGAAAAGGTAACGGTCTCGATACAAAAACGTATTCCAATGATCCTTCAACGCTTATTTTAAAAGTCTTCCCTTCGCAAGAGTTAGCAACTTCGTAAACAACACTTATTTTACTCGAGTGTTGCCTTGTAATTTGAAACAAACATCCACCGTGTAAATCCTTGATTTTGCTTTCGGTCCCAAACATTGGAGACGATACGAACTCCCTCATTCTTGCTGTTTTCAAGACACGAGGTTTCCCATTTTCACTCGGAGCTTTATTTTTATCACAGATGCAGAGTTTCAAGTCGACGCTCTTATCATCGCAATTTTTGAATTTGTTATACAACGTCTGCCTTTCATAGGACTTTAGACTTAGGGTTTTACCGTTGAATTCCACAGCAGCCCTGGTGATTTCGTCTTCTTTTAAACCTACTTCTTTAGCATCAATATGGAGGTCCATGGTTGTCATGGTACCACTTGTACTTTGTATGATATTGCGGAAAGACGTGCCGACATAGCGGACGCAGTTGCCAAAACCCTTAACTGGGTTAGGCTTTGATGTGTTAATTCCTTATTAAGAAAGAAGAGAAAATGACGTGCTGTAATATTTTATAATGTACCAATAGACAGAGCAGGGCAGGGCAGGGCAGAGCAGGGCAGAGCAGGGCAGAGCAGGGTAGAGCAGGGTAGAGCAGAGCA